TACACTGGGTGATTTGTAATCATCGCCTTTAACACGATTTTTCGAAGCTTTTTCGACAAAGAAAATAAAAAAGGTACTGTTTAAATGCCACACCTTCTAGCAAAACTAATAATGTTCTGTGATGCACAAATACATACTTTAAAATAACGTAAAAAAATTTATTATCTTACAATTTAAAAATTTTCTATTATTATTAAATAAAATAATAAAAATATTATAAATATTCATATAAAGTTATTTTTTGCGTGGAATTATTTTCGTACAAATGGATTTCGTAATTGTGCAAAAATTTATCAATTTGCTTAAAAACTTTTTGGTGAAATACTAAAAAGTAAAATTAATATCAGAGAGTCCAACTTTGGTTCGCTTTCTTAACCAAACTAAGTATAAGGACCATATTTCTTATATTATAGCTACCCCCTATATTTAGGNATATATATATATGGTGAAATATGCAAAGTATAAAATTAAAATGTGCAAACTTTGGATCGCTCTCCTGACCAAACTATGGAAACCATATTTCCCAGATTGCGGCTTCCCTCTGTATTAAGCTGGTGAAAATCCGAATCCGTTAAAAAAAGGCATGTTTATTCAGCTAACGTTTTTGCGTCTGCACTAAATAATTTGCATATTTCAGGCCACTCTCTTGAACCATTAACCCCTTGGGGACGGGTGATTCTGAAAAGCATTCGTACAAAATCAGGATGTAATTAAATAAAAATAGTAACTTAAATGTAGTCGTTGCTAATTTGACAGGCTTACTTTGCTTTTACTTTAATTATTGTTAGTTTAGTCACATATATAATCAATGTTAATTCAAAGTATAACTAAATAGTTTTATTGTGAACAAAGTAAAGGTGAATTAAATAAATCAAACAATTATAACTCCGCCCACAAATAAACTGCTAAAGAGTTACTTTGATTACCAGCTTTATCTTTTTACACTGTTTGACACGGTTTTATGCTGGCACGTATTTGTGACTGTCGGCCCGAAAGTGTTAAGAATGAGTCCTAGAACGGGAAGTTCCTGTCCTCATTTCCTTCTTTAATACAATGTTAAACATATCTTTCTATCTATATACCTATATCAATTTTGAATCTCAGTACCAGCCGCAGAATGCGGCTTTAGCTCATCCATCTGAGTGAGATCATATTAACAATTACGAATGAACGTATCAATGAAAAATAAAAGGTGAGGCTCCTATACTATCAGAGCTGACCTATCAAGCAATATTGGAGCAAACAAGTTCGCAAGTTAACGTTATGTTGGTATTATTTATGTTATTACAGAGATGCCAACTGCACCGGACACGCCAAAATAATTTAATAAACGGTAAATAACTACAAAGTAAATTTTGCAAATAGTTGACAATATTTGCTTGCTCTTAAAAATGTAAAGCAAGTAATAAGTACTAGGATGCTGAATATTGGGGTTATCTCGGCGTTTGGCGCGAAGCGCCACTAACCGATTCATCGATTCTGTTTTGTTGTATTCTGGGAGGTCCTATATATCTTTGAAGTTGTAGTATGTTGTAACAACAAATCAAGTTCTTAAGGAAGTAAATCTTTAGTTTTGAAGGGAAAATCATCTTTGGAATGGGGAGATAATAAGTACTATAAGGTGGTGAATTATAAAAGCCTAAGCATTGTTTAGAAATAGTGGTGGATTAAAATCTACTAAATCGAACTTGTTAAACCAAGAAATACAATTAATAAATTACCACTTGAAAATATTTATTCGCTGTGCTTATGTTAGCTCTTTGCTCCAACAATTAACGATAAGTCGGCCTGTCTAATTCATGGGCTCTAAGTCCCGGAGACCTGTTCCCGGAGACCTGAGACCGGAGAATGTGGCCCACCCTATTTGCTGGTAGCGCTTTCCTAAATCAGTCATCTATAACAGCTCCAAATCAATACAACGCGTAATCTATCACCTAATTCAGATCTATTCAGATATCTCGCCAAAAATGGCAGCTACATAAATTAAAACCTCTGCCTCCTGAAACGGGAAGTCTAAGTTAATCAGAAAGTAATCGAAAATTTGGATGAACGAAAAATTCTATTTGGTGATAAAAGTCCTGCTGTTATAAATGATACCACATTGAAACCTTCATAGCCAGAGAGGCAAAAAGAGATTTGAGCTCACCGGCTAGAATGGCTTGTTGGAAAGTGGTCAAAATTTCCCCTTCACAGATCCGAAAGAAAATTAACAAAAACTGTATAAAAAAAATAAATGTTTTAAGTACAATTGGCTGTTTAATTATTAAATTAGCTTTTTTCTTAAATAACAATATTTTAACAGGCATTTTCATTTGCAAAAGTGATTCACATTAATTTCAGAATTGATTACTTTAAGTAAGAATTTTTAAATTAATATAAATACGTCACAATAATAAATGAAAAAATAGTTTTCAGCAGTTTTAAAAGTCATTGTCGCATAAATTAATTGTGGTCCTTAAAATATATTTTAATGTAGTAAAAGTAAGTTAAAACAAAGTAAGTAAAGCAAAAATTAAGTCAAAGTAAGTCAAAACATAAAATTAACACACTGTGATAATCACAGCATGGAATTTATAAAGCAGAAACATTAATATTCTACTGAAAAAGTAAGTTAAGTTAAATCAGTGCTTACAAAAAACTTTAAATAAAAAAAATGCCCCTAGGATAGAACTGCTTAGGATCTAAGATTTTCAACTTTTCACGAATTTAAATTGTAATTTTTTTTTCTGTACTGGGTGCTATTTGATCAACTTTTTCATGGAGATTTTTATTCATCGTTATATTTTTTTTATTTGGTCCAGCAATAGACTGATGTAAGGACACGGTTCTCAGTAGAACACCGAAGTCAACCATCACTGACTACGGTCAGTGTGCGGGAGGGCGACCACTTTGCTCAGCCTGCCTACGGATCGAAGGTACGCGGTATCGGTCCCCTTTAAATTGCTCTACCGTAAAGTGTTCGACTTCGTTTGCAGGTCATCGAGCTACCAAAGCAGAGGATCAAAATTGCGATGGCATGTCTTCGGATCATCCTCAGGGATGTTTCCTAGACCGTTGCCAATAGCCCGTTGTGCAGCTCTAGAGTAACGTAAATAAATTACCTAACTAATTTTTATTTGAATATATTTAAATCGAAACTCAGGAAGACGATCAAAGTTAAGCAAAGGAATCACACTGCGCAAAAGGGGGTTTAACAGAGACGGAGAGAGAATTGGGCGCTATTGTTAATTGGCGAAATTTTATTGCGTTTGTGATTTAAGTGTCTGATTTAAATGATTTCTGAATTAGAAAGTTGCACACGGGTATCTGTGACAGCGCGGTGTGGATAATGTTGCTTGCCTCTGCGACTTTGGTCACAAGGTACTCAGCAATGAAAAATGAGCAACACCTCCAGCATCTTCCATGGAGAAGAAAAATTTAAAATTTACTTAAGTCGGAAGTTACTTTTAGTTGATGTAAATAACTTAACAAGCCTTTATTATTCGAATTTTTTTCCCTACTAATCAATGGTCGTAGCTGGGCCTAGTTTCCCAGTCTCAAAGAATCCTTATAGATAAACACTTACATGAAAGAAATGGTAGTATATGTTGGTTTATGAGAATGTATTATGCTTCGACTTAAAATCCAACTATAATTATTTACATTAATTATAAAAAACTGAGATAGATAGAGCTATCTTGTTTCTGGAAAATAAGTCCCTAATAATTACCGCTTTAAATTTTTGTTTCTAAAAAAGGAACCACCCTTTGGCAATTATACAAAAGGGTGAAAGTAGTGATATAATTTTTAGAAAAAAGTTATAAATTAAATGTTAACACGTTGCTTGTTAGGTTTTTAAGAGGTTTAGCATGACATATCTGGTCGTTCGTTCGTTGTAGTGGAACTGGGCAAATATTAGACAAATTTTGCTAGTTTTTTTTTTAAAGGTTTGGCATGATGTATGATGCTTTTTTTACTTTTATTTACAAAAATTGGGCACCTGGGCCTCTTAGCGGCCCCTATCCCATACATCTAGAAATTTACAGAAAATTTATAGTAATAACATTTTGAATTTAGCAGTCGATGTGGTAGCTAATAGAAAAACAAGCACTTTGCTTGAGTAAATATAACATTTGAATATCTGATTCATCGAATCTAAGTTGACATATATAAATATAAACATAATTTGACATATATATACGTAAGTTGACATAAATAAATATTAACATAAATTGATACATATTTCACTAATTAAATTTCAATATTTTAACTAGCACATATTTAATTGTGACATACATTGAAGTTCATTCGAATACATTGTGGTAGCCTTAAAAAAATCAAACCGTTCGCTTGTGAAATAAAAAAAAGTTACGCATGAATAATGGTGCAATGATGTATGATGCAAAAAGTGGTGAATGATATAGACCTACGAATTGTTTAGAAATAGTGGTAGATAAAAATCTACTAAATTGACTTTATTAAACCAAGAATCAAAATTAATAAACTACCACTTGCAATTATTTATTCGATGTCCGGAGCAAGTTGGCATTGCTGTGTATATAAATAAAACTATTTTTGTGTGCTCTATATTGCATTCATTTCTTCAAACTATTTTAGTAACGATAATAACATAAAAAAGATTAAAAATGGACTTGAATTATGTGTTTCTAATAATCTTGGGTTCGCCGGTCACCGGTGACCCCCATGGGCCATGACATTCAACGTGTTAATATTGTTTTCGTTGTTTCAATTCTAAATATTTTCCGAAAGAAATGTTAATATTAAGAAAATGAGATAGACTAACGCTGTCACTTGACTTTTTTTTTTTACCGTTGGAAAATATTTTCTTATTTATTTTTTGTTTAAAATTTGGCAGCTATGTTCACTGCTGTGCAGATTGTAAAATGCATAAAGTTCTACAAATTTTTAAAATCAATGTTTTATACGTTGCATGAGTATTTTTTTTGGGAAGGTATATCTAGCTTTTTTCATGCATAGTGAAAATTTTCTTTTCTTTGCAGTAATAGAATAAAACAAAAGATGAAGAGGATATCGTTTGTTAGAAGCCTTTTTCTACTACCAGGTAATAATGAGAAGTTATTATTTATATTATGTACCACGGCAATAATTAGAAGTTAATTATATTTTGCACCAACCGACAAAAAATGAGCTAGTTAACAAAAATATTTCAATTAACTAATGTTTCCATGAATAATCATTTTAAAAACTAAAATTAAATATTTATTATTAAGATGCACAAATGGAGCTTAATCTATTACGGAACAACAAATTTCAAATGAAACTTTTAGACAGGCTGCTTTTAGCAAATTCCACAGTACACGTTTTTGATTGATTGATATGAGTGGAATCTCGGTGTTAAGCGCGAAGCGCTTCTAACCGATTCATCTATACTGTTTTGGCATTTAGTCCAGAGGTCATATACAGTTCAAAGTTCTAAGTTACGATCAGATAATAAGTCCATGATGAGGTGAGGCATGAGTTGATTCAGTAGTACATCAGTTGTATGGGGAATTCCCCTGGATTAAAGTTGTGAGAAGATGACAGTACACGTTAAGAGAAAACGGCATATTTATGCTTTTTGTTGTTAAAAGAATAGTGGTAGTTAAACGCTTAAAAGAAATTAGTTATACATTTATAGAGGTGCGTAACATTTGTTAAATTAGTGAAACCAGGCTGGCTACGCTGCAGAGAAGGGGTAATTATTGGAAGAAAAAGAAATCGGAACTTCCTCGACGGGCTTTTTAAAATTTCAAATCAATTTAAATTTTTATTTTTATCTTTGAAAATAAAAAAAAGTAAAGCTTTCTTTATATTTTTACAAAAAATAGTTAATGGTACATGTTTTTCTCCTCTAGTATTGAAGTTATAAATAAAATTAGTAATTCTCAAAATTTTTCTTTGTTATTTCTAATGGCACTTGGACAAGCCAAGCTCACCTTTTCAGCTATTTCACAAATCAGTTAAGTGCGCCTATCGTTTGAAGAGAACACCGCAAGGGTGAAATTACGTCCCCACTAAGATCCCCATTGACAGATGGCAGCAGCACTCATTCCTGAGGACACTTCCTCAATCTAGGCATAGATCTGAAGGGGAAGGAACTTTTCGCCAGATACCTGATGGTACTGATCAGAGACCGACCACAGGACTTCTGATTCCATGAGCACGCATGTTTTCGGCGGGTCTAGGTGGAATCGAGTATCGAACCTCGCCCCTCCGGATTGAGGCACGATTCTCTAAGCAATGGGTATTTTTAAAGTACCACTCGTTATTTGTGCTTTTCCTATTTGTGGTGGGAGTGCAAATTTTACAAATGAAAAAAAAATTTCTAATAAAAAATTTATCAATTAAAAAATTCATTATAAATCTATTACATTAAGTAAATTAATGTCGTATGAAAAAAAAGTGAAAAAATTAATAAGTAATTTTTATTGATGTGTGTATACACATATCAATAACAATTAGCCTAATAACAGCCTAACTGTTTTTTATCTCTTTCAGTTTTAAATACAGTGTCATCCTTTCAACTAAGCTCAGAGGTAAGCATTTGATATATTTTTGTTTAACAATGTGTTATTAAAATTTATGTAATAATATTTTTCTTTCAAAAATAACTTTATCAAGAGCGGTTGGTAAAAAACTGACATTTGTATTCGTTGTATCTGGTCTTGTGTTTGATTTTAAGGGTGTTTTTCGAAACTTTTTTGTGGGTGCTTATAATTCAAAGCAAAGTTTAAATATTAAACCTAACTATGTAAACTATTTCTAATTGAACGAAATCACCTGAATTAAAAAGAAGGACAATCGATTAACTTTTTGGCGCTGATGGGGTACCAGTGTCTCTTTTATATATATTTTTCTACTTTTTAATTAGAAAAAATAGGCTAACAGTTACTACAAAAAAAAAATCTATTAGATTATTGGAATTTACATACCTGCCAACTTTTACGCATTTGGCGTAAAGTTTTATTGCTATATTTAAAGTGGTAGTAAAATGTATGCTTTCCATATATTCCTGCATTCATAACTTAATTATAATCTTTTTGACCACCACAATTTTTAAAAAAATTAAGCATATATGTTAATATGTAGTATAGTTAGTGTAAATTTAGACATTGATTTCATAGATGACAATAAAAATTTCAGCCCGATAACCGCTTTTTTCTTAAGCGACTGTGTTCTCTCTAAGCATTTCGGATAATCATGACTATCCCCACTGCCCTAGACAAACTGTGTTCTCTGCACCAATGAAGCCCGGCTATACCGGTGGGAGGCGAGAGAGTGCACAGGGAGTCTTCCCCCTTTTGTAAATTTGTAAATAGTGTAAATATTCTTTCTTTATCTTTATCTTCAATTTGTTCCCTTTATTATGTATCAACTTGCGACTTATTTTTATGTATGACTCAGACTTGATTTTATCAATTATTGTTCATTCTGAGATTTAACTTAATGTTAACGCAGCACCTCCCTTCCCTTCCACCACATATTATCCAATTTAGATGAAAGAGCAGATATCCATACATGGATAGGTACTCTGAAAAAAGTTGATTAGTTAGTAGTTAGTTAATTTTGCTTTCAGGACGAGCAGTTACTACCAGGACAACCGGTCACTATTCTAACAGAGGAATACGAAATATATATAGAATTTGTAAGTAATTTTTATTACTTTTATTATTATTATCGTCATTTAGTGTATATTATTCTCAATTTATTCTGATGATTATTAGTAGCTATTTTACTAAACTTATCCACTAAATATTGTGCTTGTCATTGTGTGCTTTAATTTTTACATAATTTCTAACTTGACAATGGGGTTTTCTCCTATTTTTCTTTAAACTTATTAGTACATAATTTGTTTTCAATTTATGACTAACTAATTTAAGGATATAAAGATTCGATGAATCGTCTAGTGGCGCTTCGCGCTAAACGCCGAGATGTTACACATTCCAAGCATCATACTTGCAGCGATGCCAACTTGCTCCGGACTGCAAAGAAATATTTTCAAGTGGCAATTTATTANAATCAGGGTAAAAAGATAAAACTGGTAATCAAAGTAATTCTTTAGCAGTTTATTTGTGGGCGGAGTTATAATTGTTTGATTTATTTACATCACCATTACTTTGTTCAAAATAAAACTATTTAGTTATACTTTGAATTAACATTGTTTGTATATATGATTAAACTAACAATAATTAAAGTAAAAGCAAAGTAAGTCTGTCAAATTAACAACGACTACATTTAAGTTACCGTTTTTTATTTAATTACAACTTGATTCTGATTTTGTACGAATGCATTTCTGAATCAACCGTCCCCAAGGGGTTAAAGACATTTTAATGATGAATAACTGTTTCTCTTAGATATAAATGACTGCAAACAAGAGCAAATTAAAAAAAAATATTGTTTGGAAGTGAGCCGTGTTTGGAAGACTTCACTTTAAGGCAGAAAAAGACCCCCGATATTTCATGCAGTATTTCATGAATACTAATTATTAAAATGTTAATTATAATATTTCTCACTTATTTTGCTAAAATCTACACAACATAATGAAAAAAGTTTGAAAAATGTGTTTAATAAACATTCTGAGTCAAAGAGATCTAAACATTTTAATAATTATCAATCGTAACTCTAGAGCTCGAATACGCTACCTCGAACTGAAAGCAGTAAGTGTGTCCTAGAGTTGGTTTCAGCAGTATCATAGTATATCAGTAGTACAATCCCTTGCCAAATTATTAGACGTACTACAAGATTCTATGTAAAATTTTAATTATCAGGTGCTAATATACAGCTTTATTGTTTTTATGTGACTAAGACCGGTTTGCACTAGGTTTATATTAGTATATGAATTGGTTAAATTAGACGATATACAATATAAATTTGACGATAGGAAAAATTGGACGATATATTATATAAATATAGAATATTTATTATATCAAGCATTATATTAGTATATAATATTGTAACTAGATCAAATTATTGTAGTTTTTTAACATGATTTGAGCGAATTTATATGCAATACTTTTATATTTAAACATACATGTTCTGGGTTTTTATTCAGGAGATTTTTTTTATATACTTAAATACTACCTATTTGTATTTATTTTTAACGTGTTGCATTATATACAATGTTCGCCAAATGATACAGGAGCGTAAGCAAACGCAAACCGGTTTCATCCGAGTAAAAACAATACATCTGTATAGTATAACCTGATAATTATAATTTTACATAGAATCTTATAGTGAGTCTAATAATATGACTAGGCGTGAGTCTAATAATAGTGAGTATAATAGTGAGTATAGTGAGTCTAATAATATGACTTAATATGACTGTAGTACATTAATATCAGTAGTAAGGAATGCATTAATTGCCATAGGCGTATTCTATATGAGAATTTTGAAAACTGGTTTGATAAAAATAATGGTTACTACGTATATATACTGTAATTTGAGATAATGTATATGAAAATAATTTGAGAAAATATATAATTATATAATTCATGAAGTAATTTGTTAGCAAATTACCAAAATTTCGAAAGCTAATTTTAACTTATATATCTTTACGAAATTTAAATATAAAATACAAGAAGAAATACACCGAAGAGCCATTACATTATGACCACCCTGCTAATAACATGTAGGACCACCTTTAGCGCTCAAAAATGCTAGCACCCGCCGTTGCATTGATTCCACAAGGTGCTCATAGGAATCTGGTAACAAGCGCTCACCAACTGGTCTGCAATTCCCTCACATTGCGAGAGGGTAGCGTGGCAGCACGAATTTGGTTTTCCAAGTAGGACCACAAATGCTCTATTGGATTAAGGTCAGGTGAATTTGGGGGCCAAGACATACCTTGAAAGTCACTGGAATGTTCCTCGAACCAATCCATGACGATTCGACCCTTATGACGTGCATTATCCCGTTGGTGAACACCATCCCCAGCAGGAAAAACTGTGGCCATGAATGGGTGAAGCTGGTCTGCAACTATGTTCAAGTAGCTTACAGACGTCAAGAATTGTTCTAGGAGGATTATGGGTTCTAATGTGCCCCATGAAAACATTATTCCTGGGCGAGAAACCATGAAAACCTGGGCGAGCTCATTGTTATAGATGGAGGGTGGTCATAATGTATTGACTCTTCGGTGTAGATGCAATTAAGATAAAATTAAGATGAATCAAGAAAAAGAGATAGATGAAATTGAGATGTTGGAAATTTCGTTGCGTTCATTAAAACTAAAGAATTCATAAGAAGTGAAAATATCTGACATTTTTTAAATCAAAATGATCCAAGTTTTAAATATTTTATTTAAATATTAGATTATATTGAATTTTTTTAAATGTATTTATTTTTTAGTTTATATAGTAAATAAGAAGATGCATATGTATTATTATGCTATTTTACATAAGTTACATTTTCATACACCTCGATATTCCGACTTCCAGCTTTTAACGATAATTTGTGACTAGTCTAGCGAAGGTTGTTAAATTGATGTTCTACTGTATTATTTGTTGTACTATGATTTAATATCTGTACGGTTTAAAACTTTTTTAATAACAGAATTTTTTTAAACGTAGAATCTTCTAAGAAGAGCTGGGAAGCCTATTAGTTGGAAATGGAATGAAAATCTTCTAAAAACATCCGACGCTTTTAGAAGAAGAAGGTTTCTGGGTGACGAATCTTCTCAGCCCTGGTGGAAAGAAATCCACTCTGACACGCAAGATTTCGCATCTAGTGGTTCTGCCACGAATCCTCTCACTTCTGCAGAAGATACTCTTTCAGAAAAACTGCAACACACTCCACCTTTCGACAGTTTGGAGAATCTTCCAGCACCACTTGCTCGAATCGAATCCGAGGAGGTCAAACTACATCCTCACCGTGAAATCGAAGAGCCTTTGCTTGGAGAGGTCATCATTGATGAACTGCATAGACCCTCTAAGCTTGAACTTGAGTCTGCGACAAAACGATTAAAGGATATATCTTCCAATTCCTTAACGGGGCAGGTTACGTCATCTGTGGAATATGTTGTACCATCCATAGAACTTGTGGAGCCTCATGTTGAGTATGCCAATCCATTTGAAGTAATAACAACAACCCCTTCGATTATACCAGAGGTAGAATATGTGGAGCCATCTGTGGAGTTCGTGGAACCCGTGATTGAATACGATCCCCGGAACAATTTTTCGGAAAACTATAGTATTGTTTCTTTTGGAGATGAAGGATCCGGCTTGGAGGATGAATCGTTTTCCGATGAAAATTTACCAGTTGAGGAATCCATTAGAATTGGCCGTAAGGAACTTCTCCGATTATACAGTCACAAAGAAGATAAACGCTCTTATTTAACTAAATCTCATTCTGAATCAGAAAAATCAGAGAGATTCAGTACGAAAAGGCGTTTCTATAGACATCAGCCAATAATTGGTGTCCCGGAAGAAAGTTACCCAACACTGGAAATTTTGCCTGTTGTCCACTTTGCCTGTGAAGAGTATGCAGAACCAGGGTACTATGCAGATATATCTTCTAGATGTCAAGTAAGCATTAAAATACAAATAATTAAACAAATATAATACAAATAATTAAATATAATACAAATAATTAAACAAATGATTAAACAAACTTTTAACAAATAATTAAACAAATATAAGTAATAGGTTTATCTTTAATCCGAATTTTCTAAAGTTCAGCTTGAAAATTTATTTTAAAAGCAATCTACAGGTTTTCAAATTGTCAGAAAGCTTTTTTCCATTCATAATTTAATAGGCTCTGTCGAACTCGCTTATAGCGAACGCTAATCGCAATATAACTACAACTCTTTTTTGACCTCAACTTTCAATGGAGAAATACTAAGTTTGTAATTTTAAACGCGACTTTTTATTGATTAATATTTTTATATTCTTAAAGATGACTTAAATATTTGCATATAGCTTTCTTTTAATTCTTTTCTTTCAGAAATTTTGTATTTCGTTTTTATTTCATTAAAGGAAAATAATACCTTATATTTAAGTTAAAACTAAATAATACCTAAGTTCAAACTTTCTTAGTTCGTCTTTCATAATATGCTTTAATTTTTTTTCTAAACACTTTAAAACTTTTTGCAGTCGGGTTTTTTATTAGGTTCTAAGGGTTAAATATAGTTAGATATAATTAAAATAATATTAGTTTTCTTAGATATTTTAAAATAAAGGCATGTAACTAAACAGTCAATAATTAGTGAATGGGAGTTTTGTCGCATTTAATTTACATAACAGATAAGTTCTGATTTTTTCAAAAATTAATAAATATTTCTCTGAGAATTCTGATTATGAAATATTAAAATTTTTTTCGTTGCGCTGTCTCAAAATTTTACTATAATGTTAGAAATATTTAAAATAATAAAAAAGTAAAGAAACTAAGAGTTCAAAATGAAATAAGATCATCTTATTAAAACGTAGAAATTTTAAACTTATTCATTTGAAAAATATTTAATATGTTACGCTAGTTTACTTTTAATTTTGGCAAAAAAAAACACTCAAATATTTAAATGCTATTAAAGTTAAAACTTTCCAACGAAAAAATAATATTAGATAACTTACTTTCATTGCTTTCTGGTGAATATATTTAATGCAATTGAATTCGTTAAACCTCTAATAGAAAAAAAAAGCAAAACATATTTGCTCTTCATAGTTAATAAATAATATCATGCAAAATTTTTAACAAATAAATAAATAAATTAATTTCAAACTTACCTGGCACAATTTGCTGTATTCGTTTGGATTCTATTTATCACAGCCAATGCAGCCATATTTTCCGTTGTATTTTATTGCCATCTCCAACAGGTATACGACATAATTTAAATACTAAATTTGACTTATTTGAGCACCCAAATGCGCAAAAAACAGTCATTATAAATTCAAATGAAACAAAGTATGAAACAAAAGATGTATAAAGAAAAGCAGAAATAAAAATAACAGACCAGGCTCAATGATACTTCCGTATTCTAACTAGTCAACAAAATGGCTGCAGTTTACCCACGTGATCGGCAAAAGCCAATCAAAATCGAAAGCATCACAAAGGTCTAAAGGAAAAGAGTAACGCTACTTTATCTAGGTAATCCAAGGCTTTGGTAAGCGAGGTCGACTGTGCATTGGGCAGTATAGGACATCATTAGTTTTATCTTTGAGTGGCTGGTTGCCTTGAAAGGCTATTTGGTATTACTTAATTTTCAGGGCGACCATTATTAAAACGACGCCAAGAATAACACCAAGCTGGAATTATTCGCAGTTAGTTTGTGGTTTCCATATCTCCATGATTGCTTTCAATATTAAATCAAAAGGCTTGTTTTTTCCATAGGAGTTTTGCCAAATGAATTCTGCAAGATAAGATTCTAGAAGATGACGAACCGTGCCCCTTTGAATTTTGTTCCTATAATAAAAAAGCTCTTTTTTTGTTGGCAACTTTTCACAGTGTACCTCCACAAGCTTTCCTTTACATAGAGTTTCGTTTCGTGTCCATTTACGCATATTCGATAGCAAGGTAGTACCTATTTTCCTGGCAAAACGAAACGGTATCTTCCTCACTTTTCGGTAGATAAAAATTGTGCAGCCGGTTAAAGTTTGAATAGAAAATATTTAAGAGAAATATGGTGTACATATGATTAAAATAATATTTAACTTCAGTTTTTTAAAATTTTATTTTGAATGAGCAGTTAATATGAAGAATCTTTTATATTTTTTGTTTAAGGTTTATGGTCTACATATGATTAAAATAATTATTAAATTTCAGTTTTTTTAAGTATTAAAGTTTAATTCGAAGGAATAGTTTGAATTAAGAATCATTGATTTTTTTGCTTATATTACTTTTTTTCCACAGATGTTCCATATATGCCACGATAATGGGATGAGGAGCTCTTTTTTATGTCCAGTTGGTACAGTATTCAATCAAGAATATCTAGTTTGTGATTGGTGGTATAACGTTGACTGCAGGAACTCGGTGCGGTATCACAGTCCTCTCAAAGCCTTAAATTCCAACAAAGAGCAACTACTGGCTTCTGGCTCTGGTACCAACAATGATCACGGAGTTTCATCACCAACAAATTCATCGTCCTACTTTTCTGATAAAAAGTCACCAATTGTGAAGAAATTTAACAATATTACTAATGAGACAATGAAACTTAAATCAAGCAAAAATAAATTTAACACTCTTTCAAAGAAAGCTATAAATTATCCTATAGGATACGCTATCTTGTTGAGGGAGCATATAAAGTCGTCCGCTCAAAAACTGTCTGACCAAAGCCTTGACGCAAAAGAATCTGTGACGCTCGACAAAAAACCTGACACCATAGAATTTGTTGAAAACGTGAATGCCATCGTGAAATTCAAAAAACGACTGCGTTCACGACCAAAACCAAAAAATCATCTCCGACAAAAGCAGACATTTTTTGGAGGCACCAAACCATTCGCTGATATAAAAATTCCAAGCTCAGTTAAGCCTAAATCGAATACAAATGTCAAACAACGGGAGAATGATAGCTCTGAATACGAAACTAGTTTCAATGGATATAATGTGGAGAATATGACATTGTACCACATGGTGCCGAAAGTAGCGAAATTTTCTGCCGTTCACCGAGGCGATGAAAGAAAAAATGAAAATTTGGAATTATTATCTCCTTCAAGGCAGAAGCATAATAACAGAAATAATACGATTTTTGATCATGCCTATTGGGAAAAAGTGTTTGCCGCGAATAATTTCTCCAGTACTTACGACAATAAATTAAACTACGATGTAGTTAAGAGTACGCTGAGTTACGTCGTATCAGAAACAAGTGAGATTGGTAGTAAAGTCTATAATTTGTATTCCAAATCTTCCTCAGAAACAAAGAACACCGATGAAAATCTGGCTCTGAAGTCTCCAGAGCAGTACTCTTTCGAGGAAACAATTATAAATGAAAGCCCGGTTAGTTTTATGAATCAACCGAGGGAAATAGAAAATATGGCTAGTAAAGTCAGGATAAAGATGGAATCAGGAACCGTTAAAAATTCATTTTTTAAATACGGAGATAGAATAAGTAAAATAAACAAACCATCTCATTTCGAAAAACCTGAAGCTAAAGGGGAATTCAAAGAGTTCAAGACACACGTCGAAAAGAAACAGTCATCGCCTCGTAAGTTAGCATTGCAAGATATCCAAGTTCGCAACACAACGCAGTCTAATGGTAGAATACTGATTAGTGACGAATCAGTGATATCTAAAGACATTAAAAACGATTCAGAAGCAAATAAAATACAGAATAGCATCTTTATAAAAGCAATAAAAGTGGATGATCATCATCAACCCGCATTTGCAGATAAAAATGTGACTCACAAAGTACCAGCTTATCTACATCAATACGTAAAATACAGAAATAACGCTAGGCCTAACGAAAGTTACTTCTCAATCAGACGACATCCTGAATTAAGTCAAGATAACAAATTTCATTCGAATATAACTGCGGCATCGAATCAGAGTAAAAATAAAGCGCTGGATGACGTAAAAAAACTGTATTACATCGACTATGTAGATAATTTAAGCCCGCATAATCTGAGCAGCAAAGCTACTCCGAGCGACAAAGTTTACTATGTAACTAAAGTTTCTGAAATGGATTCCTATTTTCAGAATGTAACTAAAATCAATACCAGCAACGGTGGTTACAAAGTCATCAAGAAAGTTAAAATTAAAAGACCGTCACCTAGTTATTTCATGTTGCCAGAAAGAAATGATAAAACGCTAGGTGTTAAGAATGATCTAAAAACTATAAGGAACAGATGACTTTTAGTGGACGATAAGTAGTTTATAGGTCTGTTGCAACCTCAATGATACTCTCTCATTCTGTTACTAAGACTAAAAAGTGATAGAATCATACAGGGTGTTTTTTTAACAACCGACATTAAGAGTGTTTTCTGAAGCTTTCTCTTGCCAAAGTCAGTTTGAGTGTTTCAGACTCAAACCAAAGGTTTACTTTTAAACTATATTAACTATCTCCTTGAAAAGTATTGTCAGCACTTTTTTTTTGTTAAAATCGCCAGTATGGCAAATTTTTCCATCAGGATGAAAATTGATAAAATTATTGTGCATTTAAAATGTTTGTATATTTTTATGAATTTAAATAACACAGCGGAGTAAGTTTCCTAACATAAGTTCCCAAACGCTGTTTATTCACATTGATATTTTGCGTCATTTTCAAAATTAAAGTGGAGAGAACTGTCAAAATAGGGACAAACATTTAATATAACAGCAATAAATAACTGTTATTATGTCACAACGTTTATGAAATTAGCAAGTTATTTATTGAAAAGCATTATTTCAAATAACAGCAGAGTCATTTCAAATACATATTCGTAGAGTCCTAGACTAAAATGAAATCAAGAAAGGGCAAAATATTATTTAAGATAAAAAGAAAAAAATATTTCGAAATTGTGACTAAACATAGTTGATGTCGCAAATGTGAGATTCGAATTAAACTTAATAATATAAAGTTAATCAGTTTGCAAGTAAGTGGTTTATAACCCCTTGAATACTTAAAAATAGTAATTCAATTTTTAATTGTATTAATTTATTAAAAAATATTCTAAATCAATCATGCATATATAACAAACAGAATAACTCCTCTGTCATTCATTTATATTATGATTATCTAAAAATTAAATATGGAGATAAAATAGCCAAAAGTGGCAAACCTGATCAAGATTCTGGCAACCTATTTATTTACTTTCGATCTGTCTTTTCCGCGACCGCTCTATAAATGCGCATTAGTGAACACTGGTCACCTTCTTGGACAACAAAAGCTTCACAGCTTCAAAAATGACGTCCCACAGCATGAGGTCACAGATACCAATTGAAACACATTTGAAGCATTGCCATCCATTGGGAGGAAATTTAAATTGAATGCTTTTCCCTAAATTATTCTCAGAATCTTTGTAAGGGTGAGGCATTTGCTCTGATCCCCTCACCGGTTACTTTTGATCACTATAAAAAAATTAATTTTGTTTTAAATGTATTTTTAGTGTTGAAATTTTTAAATTTTTGCTTTCTATTGTATAATTTGGATGGTGTTTTCTACACTAGGGTGCCCTGTACACTCACTAGAGCCTATACTTCCTGGTTCAACGTGATTATTGTATTTTGAGATTCTCTTGTATAGTATTTCTTTTAAACGTGTATTTGTTACCAGATATATTATTTGTTTCAAAAATAATCGTTATATAGGAATCGTCAATTGAAGAGTTGTCATTTCAACACGTAAGAATCGTCATTTGAAAGAAAGAAAAACGTTATAAGACACTTCTGATATTATCAACAATATACCAACTTCGAAATTTAAACCTAAATGATAATTCATAAAATGCACTTAATCTCACTGCTCGAATAATATGCTAACACTAACGTATGATGGTGCATAGTTTGCAACAAGAACAAACAGTAATAAACAGGTAAAAAGAGGCCAAATCAGGAATACCAAAAACCGAGTTCTTTCTAAATCTAACAATTATGTCACCTTTTTTTTTTAACAATGCATCTATAAATAACTAAAACATATTTTCACTTTAAACTCACCCGAATTACTTAATTTTATTAATATTTCATGACATACAGCACATTTGCTCTTAGAAATTATATAATTAATCTTTTTATTCAAAGCAAAATTATCTATTTGAAAATATTGCCTCGTAGAATCAGCTGTAGTAAGCAGCTGTATGTTTTCTAACCGGAAGTGGAATAGGTCAAGAACTCAAGATTGTTATTGCTTACATTTATATTGAAAACACTATCCATATAAATTTTTTAAAAAAATAAAGAAAAAGGTTTATATTCATTCACATGTTATGAATCGTTATATACATACACATACATATTCCTCTTCACTCCGAACTGGAATATAGGGCTTCTATTTTAGCTCTCCAATTGCCTCACTCTACGTTTTTTCTATTCTTCTTAGTTCACTTATTATCGTCTTAAGTCATGTATAACTTTAGAAGCGTTGCTTCTTAACAAATAAAAAAAAACCCTTTTAAATCAAAACTATAGAAATATGAAATAAGATATATTTAAACATTTTTTGAATTAACAGGGAAGTTAATTTCTAGGTTTTTCATTTTTAATGACCACCAATGTTGTGTACATAAAATATAAGACTGTGTATATAAAATTTGAAGGAAAAATAAAGAAAAATTGTTAAGTTTTCTTGTTTTTTTGGTGTAAAATTAAAAAAAAAAAAAAAAAAAAAATAANAAAATAAAAAAAAAAAAAAAAAAAGAATCATTTTCATTTTTATGATGTAGGCAAGATTTTGGGACCCAATGTTTTCCCTTCCTCCAGCTCGAATTTCTTCTAGGTATTCCTCTCAAAAAGAGAACATGTCAAGGGCCCCGCTAAGTTCAATAACGATTCTGATGAAACTGTGATGTGTATGAAATGAAACTCATCTTTTATTAACCCTTTGGGGACGGGTGATTCAGAAAAGCATTCGCACAAAATCAGAATCAAGTTGTAATTAAATAAAAAACGGTAACTTAAATGTAGTCGTTTCTAATTTTACATACTTACTATGCTTTTACTTTAATTATTGTTAGTTTAATCATATATATAATCAATGTTAATTCAAAGTATAACTAAATAGTTTTATTTTGAACAAAGTAATGGTGCATTAAATAAATCAAAAAATTATAACTCCGCCTACAAATAAACTGTTAAAGAACTACTTTGGTTACCAGTTTTATCTTTTTACCCTGATTGATACGGATTTATGCTGTCACGTATATGTGACAGTCGGCGCGAAAGGGTTAAGGAACTCATTACAAAATTGAATCCAAACAGAAATTTTCCTTTTATAGCTACTGTTTAGTTTCATAACGGGTATTGAATTTGACATATGTTATTCAAATGAAATAATATAATAATTAAATGAAATAATATAATAATTAAATGAAATAATATAATAATTAAATGAAATAATATAATAATTAAATAATTGTTTGATAATTGTTGCTGATATTATAAATTGTTTGATAATTATTATTGATAACTAAATAACTAAATAATTGTAAATAAATGTTTTGAGCCCAGCGTCATATATTTAGGACAGTTCCTTTTTCAAAGACATTCATTGTGGTGGTAAACTTTTTTCAGTACTTTCATTTATCTGGGTGAATTAAAGGATTCTCAGATATTACAATGATTTAGGTATTTCTGATTGGATCTAGAATTATAAGGAGCAAGTACTTTTTGATCTATCAAAAACTTTTTGAATGCTCTAACTGTAGAAAAACCAATTAATTTCGAGAATATATTATACCACTTTTTCCATAAAACCACTTTTTGTATCATTTCAATACATAATTTCGGGACTAAACGGGTTAAGATTAGGAGCTTGAGCTATTCATATTGAAGAAAAGTACTATCTTACTAGTTCCGTACTCGATCTCGATCCGATCAATTAGATCAAAATTTATTCAAAGTGTTATGTATGTATTTACACAGAAACTTCTCGGGAGTTACAACTCTCTGTTTAACAGTGAAATGGTAGTTGATGGAGGCTGGTCGGCTCTAAAAGGATATTTCAGTTTGCTTCAAAATGCTATTGAAAGTACATGATTTTTTACAAACGATTTTCATTTTAGTCAGTGTTGATTTATTTTGTTTATCTTAAAAGACTTAAAAAGAAAGTATATTGTTTACCTATTTAAATTATATTACATAGAGATTTTTATAGATATTTGCCAAGCAGTTACAGAGGAATAATAATTCAAAAATGTAATAATTCGAAATTTTCCTTCCTCAAAAACAATTAGACTTCAAATTTTGTATTTCATCATTTAAGAAGAAATTATGAGAAAAAGAGTTAATATGATTACTTTACAATTAAAAATATTGCTAACGCAGAAAATTAAGCAATGATTTGACTTTATTATATTCCAAGTTTTAAATCAACGCCTTTTCGCTAAAAAGAGTGTGATATGCAAAATTAAATTATTAATCAATAGACCACTTTTTTTTGAAAATTATATAGTTATAAATTTATATTTTAAGTCCCTTTATGAATAAAACATAATTCAAAAATAAATAACGAAAATAATTCAAGAAATTGTATTATCTCGATTCTCAATTGCTACCTCAGATTTTANAAATTAAAAGACTACAACACGAAAATGTTTATCTGACATATTCTCGGAGCAAGTTGGCATCTCTGACAATGAGCTCGTTTATCAGAGATACGTTTAATAATATATCATTTCTTGTGCATTTTTGAACAAAAAATAAATAAAATAGAAATAAATAAATAAAATAACTTCATTAAGTTGCCTCCATATTTCATTCTAAATTTGCTTTTGAGCTTAAATTTTTCCGTGGAAGAATTATAACTTAATCTTTCTGAAGATATGAAAAGAAATGAGGAGCTTAGTGGACGAAGCAGGTAAGTGACATTTTCACGGCTATTTATTAATCAGGTAAAATAACATAAAGCGATCGTATCAATATGGGTAATGCAACAAAACTTTCACTTTAACGTTTTCACACCTGATATGGCATGTCCCAATCACGATCTGGAAATTGTCCTAAACTTGTAGCTAAATTTTAAAAAATATGCATGCTCTAAACTTTTTGTAACTGCTAGAAAATATTTTCATTTTATTTTCTGTGTTGTGAAAAATTGATTTTATAGAAATAATTGAAAGTTAACTTTATGAAATTTTAAGCAAATATTGAGAAAACGTCTTCAATCTATAATTTTCCACGTTGTGGGCATCCTGTAATTAGTAAGGTATCCTATTGGGTACCTTGATTCTGGAAGAGGTTGATTTCACCGCAACTAATCCACATCAGTTTTGAGTGCTTGCGGGATTTTTGTTTCAAATTAGGTAAGGGGCAATAAAAAATAAGGCAAAGAATTATCAGCCTCGCCTCACAATAAAATGTTTCGAATACCATTTTTTTTTTCTTAATATTCTTATTACAACAACTCGTCATACTCCCCCCCCCCCGNCCCCCCCCCCCGGTTGAAAAAATATATAGCAATGGTTCCCAAATGATGTTTCCCAGGGTTCTGTAGAAGGATCACAGGGATTTCTTATGTTACGACATTTTTAATCTGTTATGATTTTCGAAATTTAATCACTCCTGTGGTTAAATTTATATCTAATTATACATTATTTAATTAATAATTCCGTTGTTTTAATTAGACTATTTAATTAAATGCTTGTGCAGAAAGAAAAAATAAATTGAAAAGAATATTTTCTAATAGCATTAAATAGAATGAATACTAAAAACGGTATTTATGAAAACTTGGATCAGTATTTCGCATGAAATAAAAATAACAACGGGGAAATATGTTTCTCTGATAACTATTCTCCACATTTGTTTTCGCTATTTTTTGTATTTGTTTCAATGAAAACCATATTTCAGCTTATATTCAGTCTATCCATAAATCAAACTAT